GGAGTAACGATTTTCGGTATTACGCATTCATTTCCTCGATATTTAGACAATGTCACAAATGAACTAGTTAGTTTTCTAAAGTGAAATTTCATCTTCTTTCTAAACGGTTCTTATGAAATTTTGCATCAGATCAACCCTGAAAGAGATATCGGCGAGAAATCATCGCGCGGCAAGCGTTCTCCCATGAGAACGCGTGTTAAACCGCGGCCGAGTTTCATCTACTAGTGTGACGTCACAGAATCGTAGTTACGGCCTGATGAGGATGTAGATGAGGATGAGCATGAGCCAAGGCGGATAAAGAATGGTGGTCGCATTTCGATTTTGGCTGCCATCTTGAAGCACTGTGACGTCAGGAGGGTACGGCTTTTGCCATGCAATTCGAGGTTGAGCCGACTCCCCCGGCCTCGGCCGGCCCATGTACCCGATGTTCCCGATACCGTGTGACGTCTAGAGTCCCTTTATACTGAGAGTCAAGGCAATTTGAATCCATTTCTGATTGGTTCCCGTATTTTAGGCCTCCACAGTGTCACAAACGGGAATAAAGATTACATTTTCACCAATTGCAAAGATTATAATCTGGAATGGACCAGGGAATTACGGGTTCGGCAAGGAACAAACGGAATGAGAGGAGGAACGGAGAAAGGTATTTGAGAATGGGCCGATCAAAGATTACGAAAAACGTTCAATTTCTGTAATCTTTATTCCCGTTTGTGACATCCATGAGCCGAATTGTCTTGCCTCTCAGTATAAAGGGACTCTAGTGACGTCCAGAGGGTACGAAATGCGACCACCATTCTTTATCCGCCTTGAGCATGAGCATAAGGCCATAAGGCCTTGTCTAGCTTGTCTAGAGTCCCTTTATACCCAGAGTTAAGACATAAGACAACTCGATTATCAGCTGACTGGCAGCCGGCCTTGGCTGGCCATGGAGGCCGAAATGAGTGCACCCGAACGAGCGATATTGAGGGATAAGGATCAGGAACAGAATCAAGAGACCCTCCACTGGCCTCCTAGCGACAGGTGGAAGCTTTTACTTTAGGGGTTTCAACAATTTACCTACATGGTCGATGATGAGCTTCGGGTGACGTCATGAGCCAAACAAGTTTCCTAAACTTCGGCCATTTTCGGCTTGTTTGCGAAACGAAACTGCCAACACGTTGTTTAACATCAACCATGTAGGTAAGTCAACAGTAGAGTACCTATATTGAGAGAGTATGGCCACTGGGTCCCATGGAGAGGCTTAGG